GAGAGAGAGAGAGAGAGAGAGAGAGAGAGAGAGAGAGAGAGAGAGTCTGTGTGTAGGTCACAGATATGACAATGTGTGTATGGAGGTTAGAGGACAATTTTTTCAGGAATCAGTGCCACTCTATGGATTCCAATCAGTGCCACTCTATGGATTCCAGAGGTCAAGCTCAGGTCACCATACATTACAGCAAGAACCTTGACCCAATAAACTACCTTATTGACCCTAATTTTCAATTTTTCTTACCATAGAAATTTGTGTTGAAAATTTTTGTTTCTATAAAATGCAAATTTTTAAAAATAAAAAGGAAAAGTAAGATTTCATTCTGTTTCTTTAAAAATAATTAATATATTCCCGTATAAAAACACATTTTTTTCTATGAAAGTATCTGCTAGTGCCACTGAGAATCAGGGTAGGTTATTGCTTGTTGGTTGGTTGCTGTTGGTTATGGTTTGTTAAGTAATTGTGGACAAAGGAGAAAGAACAAGAAGAAAAAATTAGATATCCTGATGGCAAAGATCAAACTTACCCAAAGAAACTCTCTGTCCCTAATCAGCAGAAAATAGTCTAAGGGTATCTTTTTTTCTCTCTTATCTTGTGTTTTGTGGTTGAAAGGGTGGAAAAGGAGTGGAGATGTGTTACAAGAGATATTTAAATCGGCAGCGTTCAATCTGGTTTTTCTTAATCAGCTGCCATGTTCCCGACTAGCCTAGGCCTGCAGCTAGGAGCTGTGGTGGCACACCACTGCTGCTCAGCTTGGGTCATCTGCTCAGGCGGTCAGAGATAATGGCCCTGCCACCCACGAGACCCCAGTGTGGGAGATGGCTCTGCCAATCTTTCATGCTGTCTTCGCAAGGCTGGGCAGTGCCCAGATCATCCCGCCATCCACGCGGACCCAGTAAGAAAATGAGACTCTAATGTATAAATATTAATCAAAGGCTTTATATGTTTGGTAATGCTCAATAACAAGATGCTCACACAATCAGAGGTGTAACCCAATACCCAACCTAGATATACCAAATACCTTTGACTGCTAGAGACATGTGCACATCCACTTCCATGTTTCCCTCTCTCTCCTGTCTCCCCTAGCTCCTCCTCTTCCTTTTCCTCTTCCTCTCCTTACTCCTCCTCTTCCTTACTCCTCCCACCTTAGCTTCTCCCAACTTGCAGGAAAAATATCCTGCGACAGAGATGGATAGACATAAGAACCCACAAAGTAGCAAATGCTAGGTACAATTTATCATGTTGCATTTCACATGCAAAGCTTGAAGGTAAAACTGGGCAAAAACCTGTGAGAATTCCTGTAAATCATTTTTTAAGAATTCATCAAGTTTTTCTCAAATGTAGGAACATTCTAAGACCAACAGACACTTGGGCTAAGACCAAAATGGATCCAAGAAAAAGAAAATAAACATTTAACACCAGCATCTTTAAATACAGTGGAACAAAGAAGTCTCCCCAAAACTGTAATCAAATCTATTTGAAGTATTTGACTGACACATCTGGCCACAGTGGAGGAGTATGAGATTTTTAGAAATTTACTTTAGTGATATCCTGGAAAGTAAAATTTAAAGACAACATGAAAGGATATGATCTTTCAGAGACAACTTTAAAATCTTGAAATTTAATGATGGATGTGTTCTGTAACTAAAGAGCTGTGTAGGTAGCATTAAAGGGGAATGGTTGTTTATATGTTTATCTTGCACAAATAGCCTGGATAGCCTTTTCTTCCTCATCATTTACTTCTCCTTCTAACATTTGTAAATGCATTATTGAATGATTAACATTTCTGATACTATTCTTTTTAACAAACTCAGTCTTTTTTTTTAAATCAGATTTTAATATATACTGCTACAAAATTTTGTGTATATTTTTAAAATTAATGTCATATTTTGATAGTTGTTAAATACATGGATTTTTATTAACTCTTTAAAGTCCTGCATCTAAATATAATTATTGGGAAACAAATTTAAAGGAACCAGTACCATCTCTACAATCTAAAACCCAGAAAGACGGCCACCTTTATATCTTTGTGCATTTACCTATGTCTTTTTCATAACACTATATATCCATTTTAATGGAGGACTGATTTCAAGGCCAGCTATGCCCCATGGATGCTCACATTCTTTTATAATGTAACTTAGGATGGCCACTTAATCTAAGTCCTATCACCTCGAGGATACTAAGAATGCCCAGTACAAAGTTAATGTCATTGAGATAGTTGTATTATTTATAGAAAAATAACAAACAGAACATTCTTGTATTTTATACATCTGTAATTTCCCCCAAATATCCTTGATCCATGATTGGTTAAATAGATAGTTGTCCCCTAGGTAGGCACAACTGTATGTTTAATGAAATAGCATTTTCTAAGCAAAGACAAAAAAGGAGCATCATTAAAAGGGCATGGGCTAGAAATGAATAATAATTTACTATGAGGAAGATCAATCTTTTTCAATAAAAATTAAAAAAAGAATCATCAACAAGATGTTGTAGCACAGTCCTATGAGATTAGCACTGAAGAGGAAGAGGTTGGAAGGTTGACATTGATTTGTATAGCTAAGTTCCTGGCCAGTAGGGGCTACAAGGGAAAATTTTTGTCTCAAATATATTTGGACAGTATTTCTGCATTATTATCAAATCCTGAAGTGGATTCCTAAACACTGTTTTATGGTTATAATTCATCTTAAGATTCCATGCTGGAGCATAGATGTTCAGAATTGAGAATTCATCTTGATAGATTTTTCCTTTGTCATGTATAAAGTGTCCTTCCTTTTCTTTTTTGATAACTTTTGGTTGAAAGTCAATTTTATTTGATATTAGAATGGTGACTCCA